CCATGTAACTGGAGACTAGGAATGTGGGTGCTTTTCCAAGAAAGGATGTTATGGAGATGCATTTACATGCAGTGCTATTCAGATCTGCCATGAGAAGGTCTAATGTACATCTGCCTCAGGATGTTCTCTCCTTCATGCCCCTATAGCTATCCCTTAGTGAAATCTGGACTGACCCCTGCCCATTTGCAGAGCAATCCTGGGTTGTGGGCTCTCATTGTTCAGCTGGGCTCTGTGGGCAACCCTGTTGGGGCCTCCTGCTGTAAACTGGCTGGGCTTCCTCCTTTCTACTCCTATGGAAGCTTCCTTACCAGCTATCACTACCTTTGTCTCTCAGAGGAAAAACAACAACAACAACAATATTTTTCACTTGAAAAAAATAAAAACTACCTAGGGTTTGTTTCTGGAATGTAATTACAAACTTCATTGTGCATTCTTCTTGGCTTTGATGCTCATCTTGGAGAGTTCAGTGAAAAGAAATTGTTTTTATGAAAACAGAGAAACCATTTGATAAACATGCCGTTGCTGAAAATTGTTCCTGCAAAAGAGGTCACTCCTTCACTTTAGAAGAAATAGAGCATGTTTCAGAAAACAGGCAGGACAGCAAGCAGCTTAGGAGCTCTGTGAATACAGGATTTGTTTTTTTAAGGCAGAGACACTGAAATCCCGATTGCATTGAGTGTATTGACTTCTAAAATAGCTTCATTGAAGAACTACTTAGGCTACAGGCTAATACTTGATGTAGTTCCTATTTCTAGGAATGAATTATCTGCTTAGTACTTTTTGTTACTAGGATTTAGGGGTTACTGGTCCATAACTATACTCTGTCAGAACCTACTAGTGACTCTACTCTTAGTAAAAGCGATAATCAGTGGAGAATTGGTTAGTTTTGGTGGGCTCTTCCTGGATCTCCTGGAACAGAGACCAATATGAACAAAATTTATCTTAGTAATACAGGAAGTAACCTCATGTATACAACTGAATATATATTTATTATGAAGAAAAGATTTAAATTTTACCCTTCTGCCCATGTTTCTGTATTTTTGACTGAAGTTATAAAAGTAATTTGTATTTCTAGACTAGAAGTTTGAAATTACTAAAAAACTGAAACAAAAATGCCCTGGGCCTGGAGGTATCGTTAAGGTTCGTTTCTTGTGGAACACTTGCCTGTCAACTGGCTTCCCTTGGGAGTTGTGCTAATGACTTGTAACTAGAATCTCCCCCAACCCCTGTACATGCTGGCTATTGTGAGAATATTGGCCTGTTGATTCTATATGCATGTGACTCCACTATGAATGTGAAATACTTATTCTCTGACAGGAAACCTAAATTTTGTGGCAGTGGATTTTACGTACAGATTAAGAATCCAGGCTGGCTAGAGACCTGTGCTATGATGTGAAGCCAAGTTCAAATACAAAACCAACTACCAGACATTTATGCTTATAATACATTAGCTGTTACTATGGGAATAGAGGAGGGACCTGAGAAACTCTGGCCTTGTTAATTTCCATTTGGAGCTGCTGTTAATTTGGCTACATTACATACTGCAAACAAGGATCATAATATTTGGATAGGACTTTTCATCACCCAAACACAAGAGAATTAAGCCATATATAATGTCTGGTAGTATCTGGCTTACATGACTTTCATAAATTCCTAAAAGTCAGATTTCTGGTTACAAAATCCAGCAGGTTTTGGTTAATATAGTCCCCTCTGATCCTTGTTTAATTTGAGGCCACAGAAAGTAGGGGAAATTTTCAGAGTTCTATTAAGATTTAAAGTTGCTTTCACACTTTGTAACATTTGCTTATTTTTTTTCATTAAAAAATATATTCTTGAGTGAATAGAGACACCAAGCTAATCAAACTAACAGTAATGACCCAAATCATAGACAACCCCTGAAGGAATTTCTTTATGCTCAAAAGTTATTATTTTGGCTTCACAAGAATTCTTCTACTGTCACTTTTTTTTTAAAGGTGTGTGTATTTGTTCATGTTCGCGTATTTTCCTCTGTATTTGTGGGTGTGTGTGGGGGTGCAAGTGTCTCTGAAAGGCGATACAGGGTATCTCATTGGACTGACACTCATCAGTTAGGTTGGGCTGGCTGCTTACTAAGTCCCGAGATCTTGTCTCTACCTTCACAGCCCTGTGATTACAAACTTTGCAGTATACCACGCACAACTTTTTAATGTGGGTTCTGGGGGTTGAACTCAGGTCCTCACGCTCGCAAAGCTCTCTGCTGCCTCTCTTAATAAATGTTAACACTATTCAGCATAAATTCTAATCACATTTAAGATGAAGTTTTGAAGAAGCTTCTTCAGGTTCAAGGCTAACCTGGTAGTAAGAAACCTTTGGTATGGGATTCTGAAATGAAATTATAGACAGACTAGGAATAGGAACACCGTATAAAATACATTACATCACAGTTGCTGTCAATACTTCAGAGTCCATTCTGAAATGTCTAATCAATGGGCCTATTTATATCCCCTGGAACTTCTAAAATGGGGTGTTGGTGTCAAAGCAATGAAGAGTTTAATCAAATCAGTTCCAAATGAACAGTGTAACTTTAATGCCCATGTACACAAAAGCCTTAGGGCATCAGGATGCCTTAGAGTCCCCTCAAGTCAGAAGTCCTGTGTAGTCTTAAATCTCCAGATGGCCTGCAAAGAATCTTCCAACATTTAAGTATTTGCCCTTCTTTCCCTTCCCATGTCTTTCTTCCTTCCCAGTGTCCTCATAAGCATCCTCTTATTCATTGCAAAATATGTACTAGGCATGGCCTGCTGTGCTTGAGGTGCGAGCATCTTGCTGTGTGGACCACCATATCACTCCAGTCTCCTTTTAAAATACTCTGGTGACTTAGACGCTGGCAGCCTGCAGGCTATATGTGAATTTTTTAGATCACTCCACCCAATATTTGCAGTAGCTGTATCATGATAGGGTCTCCAGGTAGTTGGATGATGAGACAGGACCTGTGTGTGTGTGTGTGTGTGTGTGTGTGTGTGTGTGTGTTGTGTATCTGTTTTTCTGTGGTACAACAGTCTCTTCTAAAACGTTCTCTTGTGAGTCTCGTTGGATTTTTGTTCTTACATACAAGTGTGTCAACAGTGGTTGGAATGTAGTGGATGCTCAAAGACAGCTGCTGAAGGCATGGAGACAGACTGGAAAAAGCAAATGAACCGGCTTCGCAAATGACAAGTGCCTCCTCATTCTGATGCCCAAGCACATCTCAGGTCTCATCATCCCATCCGCCACCCTGCCTCCTTTTGTTTACAACTCACTCTAACCTATCAAAAAAATATTCACACCTGGGAGTATTCCCTCTTCAAAGGCCTCTACATGTTAGGGATAGGCTTCATAGGAAAAATTTCTAAAACAGTGGCAGAGAGTGGTATGAGATGTGAGTGCACATTCCTAAATCCTGGAGCCTTTGGGGGCAAGGTTTCTGGCAGTACAACACACCAGCACATGTAATTCCAGCTCTTGCAGCTAGTGGGATTTCTACTACAGGGTGTAGGTGTGCCTGATCCTGGAGATCTGATTACAACTCCAGGTTTCCTCTCTCTGAAACTTTGATTATACTTTCCTTCATCCTCCATAATGAGGCTCAGATTGCTCCAGATGCATGGCTGTAAGGTGAGGGATGGTAGTGTGCAGATTAAAGCTCATCATCCCTGCCATTGGGGCTTGCTCCATTTAAGGCTTAGGTGGTGGGGAAATTCTTTCCTGGTACCCTGGATCAGCAATCTGCTTCTCTCACTTGGTCAGACCCTGCACTAGCTGCCATTGTTAAATACTCATAGTGAAACTTAAAAGATGTTCTCTTTCGGGAACAACAGGTGGCCACTGCAACCTCCAGCTCTGATTGGTGGAAAGGCCACAGGCGCCCAGTGGCCCAGAGAAAGGGCCTCTACTTCTGAGTTTCAAGAACTTACTCAATGGGGTGTTGTCCTGATAATATCTCAGCACACTGCCAATTTGTGCAACCCGCTGGGCCATTAGGGAGCGCCGCTGGGTTGTCAACGTTAAATGGAGATTCAGGAGAGTAGACCAAAGCTTTTTCAGGAGGGGGGAAATCAGAGTCAACCCAGTGACAATGTGAGGAGTTTGTTCCTTCCCTGAATACACATGGCTCTTGCAGTGCCCTGACAGGTTTCTGCTAAGAGCACACACACACACACACACACACACACACACACACACACACACACACACACACACACCACACACTTTCATCTGTTTAAAGTTTATTTTTTCCTGCTTGTGGTTCCTGAAGTAGAGTATTGAGTGGAGCAACACACACAGGTGTCACAAGCTGGAGTGTCTACTTGGGAGAAAATACAGAAACCCATGTATGTCTGGAGAAGTTCAGGCCCCGGGCCAGCGAAGTCATCAGGGACCACACCATTAGAGGCTGTCAGTCGAAATATTTCAACTTCTTTCCCTTCGAGTTCAAAGTAGTTTGCAGATAACTGAACCGGGAAAGGGAGATCTCACAGCTCAGCCAATGTTTTCTACCGCCAAGGCTGAAGGCCAAACTTTCAAATTAACTCAGAGCAATAAAGCCCAGGGTGGTGGTGGTGGGTGGGAGTGAGGGGGATGGAGAAATGTAGATTAAAGAAAGAGAAAGAAATAAAGAGGGGTGGGTGGGTGCAGCGTGGGCAAGTTAATCACCCAGAACCTTTTAGGAAAAGAGGGACATTTTCTCTTGGAGAGCAGCGAGTGATCCGCCTAGATCCAGTTACTCAAATGCCTTTCAAAAACAAACAAGAGTAAAGAAAATACAAAGAGACCTCGACACGAGGCTTAACAGGGGAAGCTTCAAGTCTGCCTACCTGTGAAAGGTCAGGCCCTAATAACCCTTCTGCAAAATACCTCTGGTGTACATGGGTTCCCGGTCCTGGTCCTGGCTACCAGGAGCCACTTGAGCAGGTTAGTTTTCTGGGCTAGTCTACACCGGGACAGGTTAGAGGGGATGGAAGACAGGTCCCCACCAGCAATGGTTAGGACAGGAAGGTAGAGATTGGGGCGACAGTGGACGGTTTGGGGGATGCTAGGGAAGAGGAAAGCGAGGGTCGCACAGGAGGAGAGCGGGACGCAAGGGGGGACCGTGCTGGAAGCTGCGGGGCGGCCGAGGGAGGCTGGGGAGCGAGGAGAGCGGTGAGGCCGCGGGGACAAAGAGGACCGGGGAGGGAAGGGGTGGGAAGGAGAGGCCGGGAGAGGGGCGCGCGGTGGCCGGGGCTGCACGGGGCGCGGGGCGGGGCGCGAGCCCGGAGGCGGTCGGCGGCCGAGCGCACCGGCGGGGCGGGCGGCGCGCCAGCTGCCCGGGGTGGGAGGGGCGGAGCGGCGGCGGCGCGGGGAGGGGACCGGCGGCGGCAGGAGGGGGAGCGGCAGGGGAGGGGCCGGGCCCCTTGTCTCCGCGGCTCCTCGGCTCAGTCCGCCCGGGGAGGAGGAGCGGGGCCAGCCGCCGCCGCCGCCGCCGCCGTCCTAGCCTCGCCGCGCACCTGAGCTCGCCGGCCGCCCCGGGTCCCCGCGCTGCGCCCCGCGCCCCGGGCGCCCGGCCCGTGCGCAGTCAGCCTCAGTGTCCCGGTGGGGCGTCCCCCGGGCCGTCTCCCGCTCTCCCGCGGGCGGCTCGCGTGGCCGCGCCTTTGTGTGCGGCGGCCGCAGCTCTCGGGCTCGTCGTCGGCCCCCGCGCGAAGCCCTTCCAGCCCCACGGCCCGTGCACTGTCCCCGGGCGCCCCCGGCCGGGCGTCCCCGACGGTGGATCGCGCGGCCGCAAGGAGGCGGGTAGCGGCCCCGGCGAGCTCCAGCCCCGGCCCCGGCCCCCGGCCCCGGCCCCGGCATGGATGTGAGGTTCTACCCCGCGGCGGCCGGGGACCCCGCCGGCCTGGACTTCGCGCAGTGCCTGGGGTACTACGGCTACAGCAAGGTGACCGGGCCGGGGGCGGGGGCCACCTCTCCATCCCGGGCGCGTTCCGCGTCCCGCCTCGCCTGCTCACTTTCTTTTCTATCTTTCTCTCCACACGCTGGTTTCTCCGTGCGCTTTCGTCTCTGACCAACTCTCCTCGTCTTCTCTTTCTGTCCCCTTCCCACCCACCTTTTTGTCCCTCTGCTGGCGCTCCGTCTGCCCTCCTGGTCCCCTCCCCCGCTCCCCCAAAGCTGTTGGAAGCGCAGTCCCGGGACTGAGTTGAGATTCGCGCGTGAGTCTTTGTACATGTTATTAGTAAACACGATTGCAACACCCCTACTATGTGTGTGTGTATGGGGGGCACGCCATGTAGAAGTCCTCTCGTGGTTCAGAGATCTCCTCCTTCTCCTTGCAGCCCATCTCACTTCACCCACCCGGTCAGGGAAAGACAGGAACAAACTTTAGAGCGTGCCCGGATCCCGGGTCTGATTCTGGAAAGCCTGAAGTTGTAGGGCCCAGCAGGTGCTCCTTACTTCCTTCTCTCTAGGGTGCTCTGGTCTACCAGAGGAAGGTGCTCGCTTCTCCTGAGTTAGCTCTAGTGACTTCTTGTATTTTAATTTTTTTGGGTGGGGGGGAGGGACGGGGGTGGGTTAATTTTTTTTTTCTTTTGGGAAGATCAGAGTTGCAGCTTCACACCACGCCCCGGGGTCACCCCATTTTTCGCACTTCTCCTCGTATTAACTTCAGGAGCGAGCGATTCAGGTGGCCATAGGACCTAGTCATTGGGCTTGGAGGACCCGGGTTGTCTACCTTTCATAAAGCTCCCACCCCAGAGCTTTGAGACATAACCCCAAGGGCGAGATTCAGAGAAAGAACCCTACGCCTATTGAATGTGTTTCTCTTTTCCCTTCCCCCTGCTCCTCCCTCCCCTCCGACTTTTCTTTCAAACCCCAGTTTGTTTATGATTGCTTGGATAACGGAGGAGGAAATACGGAGGCAGCTGAAAGAAAGGTGCAATACAAAACTAATGAATAGATAGCAGGAAGAGAAGGGCTTGTATCTAGAGTCCGCACAGTTGGCTGTGCCCCTGACTGATGGAGGCCCTGTTCCTCATTGTTTATACTCCCTTCCCAACGCCAGTGCTAAAGTTTGCAAAAGACCGTGGAAGTCCCACTGGCTCGCGTGGGTGTCCTGGTTGGGTAACCCTGAGCCAGGCACTCAGAGCCTTTCCAGTAACTATAGGACAGAGGGACTTTATTCGGTGTTTTTAGTCTAGTGGTGGTGGTGCCCGTTCATATACTTCTAAAATCTGAGAAGAATGCCTTAAGCATCGAAAACAAGGCAAGAAAAGGCCGAAGGCTGTAGCCAGAGTAAAGGATCGGTTTCTGTCGTCTGATTTTGGATTTACTCAGGTTATTAAATGCTTTAAAAAGTCCCCCATGTATGCTCAGTCAGGGACTTAGGCAGCCTAATTAAGTATGTAGTGTTTCTGAGAATCCGCCTAATTGTTCCAGTGGGGTATTACTTATCTCCTCAGAGCTCAGCCTGTGCATGCAATCCTGTAAACTGGGCATGCTCTTATTTTTGGAAGCCATTACCTTGTCTAATGTAACTACTTCTTTCTCTGATTTAAGATCAGCAACACTCGAATGACATCCAAATAGAAACCTATTGTATTAAGCCAGTCACTGCCATGCATGGCAAACCTCTGTTCACTGGGATCCCAAGGGTTTCAAGGGACTGAGGAAATTGTGGGTGTTTTATTGTATCTCCTTTTATTTTCTGAGAAGAGTTATTTTGAGTCAATTTAAACCCAGAAGCTTATTTCAGGGCAGGTATATAAAGCTTGAAACAAGACAGTATTTGTCTATCTTCAGGGTCAACTTTAGCAGTGGGGTAGCAAGCTCATTTGGGGTTCTTTTCTGAATCTTCCAATGGCCCTGAAATAATAATTCACAATCTGATGATAGGAAGGACTGTGGGGACCCAACTTATAAAAGTTGGAATCAGATTTGGGAGGGGTCAAATTGGACTTATTCTAAAGGTGTGTTTGCCTTTACTTGTTTACAGGTAAAAATATAAGAAGTCCCTTTAGACTGAGCCACAGGATAAATATAGTATTCTTAATTTCTGGAATGGGGAAAAACAGTTTTATTCCTCATAATTTATCTTTGTACAGAGAATGTAACAGAAGAGGAAGTATTAACTTTATGAGCACAGAGCAGCAAGAGCTAATTACAGGTTTACAGCATTTGCTTCACAGCTAACTTGCATCTGAAGTGCTGTTTGCCGTGCAGAATAGATTTATTGAAGACGTAAAACAGCATACAATGACATGCGTTTACTTCATCTGAAAGTACCTGGGATTATTAATCTTTCTTAAGGCACTTTTGAAGACATGTATTACCTTTCTGAATGAGAAATGATGGATTACAAAAAAGTATGTTTCTGCCTTTTCTTGTTTTAATGACCATCTGGGAAACTTCAGAAGAAACCGAACTATCGGTGTCAGAGCCTCCCAAGTGAAACACTAGCACTTATCTTTACATTTATTTACAAACCGTGAATAATAGGGGTCCATTCATTTCTCCTTTTAACAAATGACCAGAGTCCTTTGTATAAATTATATGAGAGTGTATTATCTTTACATTCTGGGAGTATGTGGGGCCTTTTTAAATGTTAGTGCTCATGAAAGTATACTATCTATGGAAAATGGATGAAAGGCTTTGGAGGGTTCAAAAGTCATTGCAAGTAGGAGAATAACTTCAAATAAAATATTGCCAGGATCATTAAAATCAGTTAATAATTCATGAACCAGCCACTGATGTATAAACTTAAAGCCATGTCTATTTTCTAAGGACTAATTTCCATTTTAATTTCAATCCACTGTTTGAACATTTATTATATATATATATAATGATGTGACTAGCAAATTGAACTAAAATCTGTATTTTAAAACAGGAAAAAGTCATTATGATCTTCAAGTGAGTTGTTGACCAACTGACTAATCTGGAATTTTCCCTTGGGTTCACTTAATTTTATTTTACCAGCAAGAAAATAATACATAAAATAGCAATTAAAATAAAGTTGTTGTAAGCCTGCCATTCCCAAATAAGATCATGTATCTAACTAACATGAATGTGAGGTAAAATAATACAGCAGGTTAATAGTGAACTCAGGCTGATCTTTGTTTGATTTGCTTAATACTTTTGGCTTTTTGTTTCCTTTTCAAAATATGTCTTCTTACACTTATGCAGATTAAGGTCTCAGCCCTGAGCCTTACTGTCTCAATTGTATGTGTCTTTTTATTGATTACCCTTATTTAATTAAGACACACTCTTGCTTGTCCTTTGAGTCTATCTCGTTGGGCCTCTACTTTGACTAGCTTGAAGGGTAAGAGAGGCGGAAGGCTAATTTGTTCATTGCCTCTCTTCTTGGGGACCATGATTTCGAACTGAGAATGTATTGAGAGGGGATTTTGATGGATATTTCCTAGATCGATGTCCTACCCTGTCATGAGGTCAGTTACTTCATTTCTAGGATCCGGAGTCTGTTGAAATTATAAAACACATTGAGACATTTCCATACCCTTTCATGACAGGAATTAAAATGTGTTATCAAAGCCACATTATAGAAGAGAAATAGGTTTTTAAAAGAGTTCCTGGAAGGGGTCATATACTCAGACATCTACAGGGCCAGGCAGTGGACCTGCATGAGGCTAGGGTCTGTGGCCAAGCTGAAACACTATCCATTTAAAGTCATAGATTGCTCAGCATTAGCTAGACTATCACCATGACAACATTTAGGCCCTGTACATTCATGTTTTACAGTTCTCTTTTTATGAGAATGATAATCTGTATTTTTATGTGAAATGACTGGTTTTAAAACTATATCAATCGTTTTGAAAGCTGACAGTAGATTAATTAGAATAATGTGTGAGACCATCACAGACTACGTTTGTGTGCTTTGCATATTTGGTTTTAGACTGGTTCAAAAGTGGAATAGGACTTGAAGTTTTTTTGTTTTGTTTTTTTGGTAACTCATTTGTAGTTTATGTTCAATTATATGGGACATTTTATTCCCCTGTTCAACAGTGTAGTCAGGGTAGTGCTGGAGTGGACATGGGCAAAAACCTGGGTATTGTGATAGCTATAGAGTTTATTAGACTTCGGGCAGAATGCAAGTTAGTCTGGGTAGCTCTCTAAATCATATCAGACATTAACACCAACCGTGACCTGAATTCCATATCAAATAATATGACAGTATAGCTGGGTTGATCAGTTGAAGTATGTATGCATTTTGTAGACTGCCTCCCCCCCCCCCCAGCCACTTCAAACATTTTACTGCAATCCTAGATGTTGGGCGTATAGTCACTAAGGGGTAAAGTAGCACAGTGGTTACAAAGTTGAGCCCTATACACTCTTCATTTGGTTACCCCCAAATGGTGGAATGCTAAACTGAACCCTGTGCTCAGTAGGGACATGCATATCATTAAGCAAAGAAAATTAATCTGAGGGATTTTAGATTAAGCCGATGGACATATGTGGTCACAGTGTTCAAAGAGTGTTGCTATTTCTGTACCATCCTCCTTCAGGGCACAAACTCAGCTGGAAGCTGAAACCACTTGAGGAGTTACTTTATTTAATCACCACAGTATTTATAAGATACGAAACATCCTCAATTAGTTGTCTGTTTCTAAAAATCTTCGCATATAAATGAAGCTTTCTCTCTCTCTCTCTCTCTCTCTCTCTCTCTCTCTCTCTCTCTCTCTCTGTGTGTGTGTGTGTGTGTGTGTGTGTAGAAATAGTAATAAATTTGGTAGCGATCTGTGGCCAGGCATCTTCTGGAAGTTTCTCTGAGGGGCATGCGTGTCACTCACAGTTTGAGAGCTTCTCTACTGCCTCTTCTGCTTGGTTGGCCCTCCACATTCTTCTGA